GGGGGAGAGGGAGAGGGAGGGGAAGGGGAAGGGGAAGGGGGGGGGGGGAGGGATTGGGTGGGTTTGGATGCAAAAAATAAAAAACAGTTTTGGGGTTAGTGATGATAAATTTTTTTAAGGGGCGGCATATAGAAAGTTGGATTGGGGATGTTGTGTGTGTGTGTGGGGCGGGGGTTGTTATAATTTTCCATTTTTGTAAGGAGTATTGTAAAGTGGATCCCAAAATTTGTCTCAAGAAAATCCTTCTGAGCAGATCATTTGGTGAGGTTGCAAATGCATTCTTCCCTCCCTGGGGAGCATATTGCACACACTAATTTTATATTTGGTAGATGTAACTTCAAATTGGTTGTGATGATTATATGCAAGCTGGTCAAATCAACTATGTGGAGTAGGAGTTAATGGGAATTCCCACTTCAACCCCCAAAAGCCTCTCCCTCCCTCCCTCTCTATCTCACATTCATTTTTGAGCCTTCTGCTAACAGCTGAAGACTGCAACTCTTACTCTTGTTCTGGTAGCTGTGCTCGTCGTTATTCTCTCTTCAGTTGACTCTGTCCTCTGGTTTTTGCTGGCTTTGGTGCTCCGAAAATCTCCATAATCTTTGCACTACCCATGACAAAAATGAAAATGCCTGGCCCCATTTACTCGGTGGATTTTCCTTCCTAGCATATTGTATGGCTTGTACTAATACATTGGAAAGCAGATTGCTGTAAGAAAAGAAATCTTTGATGTTCCAATATTTTATCTTTATAGAGATATGTAATGAGCAGCATATGTGCTTCAAGCCCAAGGATTGTACAGTTCTATGGTACTTAGTTTTGCATTTCTTATTTCAGTATGGAAAAAGTTTGTATAGAGACGAGGCTCTAAACAATATTAGAGCCTACCTCAAAAATTTCACTAGAAGAGGTTGTTTTCATGTCCCAATATCCTAAAATTGTATGGACATGAGAAAAAAATGGATTTCAAGTTTTGGAAATAGTACATCTTGTAATGCATTTTTTGGACCGTCAATTTTCAAGAGTTTCAAGTTTTATCAACACTATTTTTTAAGTTTTAAATTTAATAATTAAAGATGTAAAATATATTTTAAGGCTATCACAAAGATTTCCAGTATTGAAACTACATTTTTCGATACTATTTGAAGCTGCGCTTTACTTTGATTGTTTAGAACATCGGCACTATACAAATCGCACCCTTAACCACCCTTTGGGTATTGGAGTAGCTGTTACATATAATCTCAGTTTTTATTGCACTTTGCCTATTTTACCAACATCCATTATATGTTTTTAGGAAAAAGTTTAGATATGGTTGGCACCTTGAAATGTAGAATTAAGGTGCACTTCTAAAATAAAAAAAAAATGTTATTTTGGCGTTGGAAAATATCTAATTAATCATCGTGATATTGAAATGTCTAGATATGGAGAAGAAAAGAGATTTCAAATTCTAAAAATGAGAGTCTTAAGACATATTATATGAACTATACATTTTTAAGATTCTCAGGCTTTTATAGTTCTGCTTGATCTGAACGTTTTTGGAATTTAAAGTTTTATAATTATAGACAAAAGATATTCTTGCACTACCTTAAAAATTTTCAACATCAAAATTGGATCTCATGACAAAGTTTGGAGGTGTACATTAATTTAATTGTTTAAGGCAGTAGTAACCTTGTGTTATCAAAAAAAGGTTGTAAACTTATGTAAACCACACTGATATTTTTTTTTATAGCGTACCAATATAAAGAAATAATAAAAGTACTTAAAAATTAACTAGATCAATTTTTTATTAAGTTATAATAAAAATATGAATCAAAACTTTCAGCATTAAGAAACTTACAGTGAAGCAACATAATCCAAATGCCGCAACAAAGTAAATACTAATGCATCTATTATCATCTTACCATTTGTAATGTAATTTGTAAAAAAGGATCTACAGCTTTTTGTTTTAAAAATAAAATGTCCCTTTGGTTTTTAGGAAAGCACACCAAGGGATTATGGCATATGGTACTCCATAGAGCCACACCTGTCCATACATGATGATGATCAATGGGGAGTAGTTGCAGTTGGTGAATATTGAGGTGGGTCCCACTATAGCTTCGGCTTAGTGGTAGACATTGGTAAACATTGAGGTGGGTCCCACTATGGCTTTTGCCTGGGGGTAGACATCTATCTGGTGAGGTAGATCAAAGGTTCGAACCTTATTCTTTAAAGCCCAAACAAGCTGATCTAGTCTTCTTTTTTTTTAAAAAAAATTAATTAATTATTTATTTATTATTTTAAAGTGTGGTTTACGTAAGGTTGTAACCTTAATATATAAGGTTGCAACTTTAAAATGTAGAATTATATATGCACCTAAAAGTCCATCGGAAAAAGTTATTTTAATGTTGAAAAACTATGTAATTGATCATCACAACATCGAGATGTTTGAATATAGAAAAAAAAAAAAAAAAAAGATTTTGCCCCAAAAATAGTGCAACTTGCAACATATTATCTAGACCGTCCATTTTCAAGATTTTCATATGTTTATAGATCTACTTGATTTTAATCATTTTTGGAGTTTAAATTTGTATAATTAGATATAAAAATAAATTTTCAAACAATTCTAAGAATTCTTTACATCTATTAAAGAAATGGTTTCTTAAATGTGATAATGCTAGCTGGCAATGGGTGGGACTCGGAATTGGAAATGCACTCGGGCCCGGACTTGGCCAATGTTCTTGTACCAGGTTTTAGTTTTTTTTTTAGTTTTCTTTATTGTGTCCGATGTTTTACGACAATTGATGACTAATCTGAAGTCATGATCCCTAGACTGCCACTATATTATAGGCGGTTTGAGGATGGAGATCTCGAACTGCTCACTTAGGCTCAATCCAGTTAGTAGTCTGAGGTCCCCATCCCCGGACCGCCCACACTGTGGTGTTCAACCACATTATAGGCGGTCCAAAGATGGGGACCTCGGACCCATCGTCAACTGTCATAAAACATATGACATAACAAAGAAAACTTTAAAAAAATAGAAAAGAAAATTAAAATTGGTTAGTGTCATAAAACATATGACATAACAAAGAAAACTTTAAAAAAAAAAGAAAAGAAAATTAAAATCGGTTTGAGGATGGTATTATCTGACCAATGGGCATTTTAAAATAATTTAAAAAAAAAACATTATTTTTGAGTCAATTCAAC